GCCTGTTATTTTTGCACTAATTAAAATATTTTCTTTTATTATAACCCAACTTGTGATTTGTAGGTTTTGCCGTAAACCAAAAGGCATCAGATTTGTAGTCAGAATGCCAAATTGGGAATTTAATTCTGTGTAGCCCTTGTACAATAGAGGATAGGTTATCTTTGTACCCATCTTAACTTGGGTCTTATATTCTTTGGTAGACCTACTTTGAAAATGGTGTTTATTCTTTTACAAATGTATCTGGACAGATTTTACCCTATTTTTTAGAAGTTTTTATTTATTTACTTCTTTATAGAGGGGGGGGTGGAGACACTGTCAACACTGTCAGCAGAGCCCTCACACTGTGATCCACCCCCAGGCTCAGCCATCCTGCATCTTGACACATCCTCCCATGCCCAGTGTCCATAGGGAGGTTCTGAGATGGGACCCAAGGACCTTCCCATGTAGTCCAGTTGTGTTACTGCTGTGCCACTCTCCGGATCCATATCTAGCTGTCCATGATAAAGGCAATACAATAAAAAGAGCTGGAACTTTGGATTGAATTGCACATTCATCCTGAGCAAGTTTCTTAGCTGCTTAAAGTAGTTCCCTCATAGAGAATTGCCAGGTTTCTTGTTTGAAGTATATTTGGTTTACTTATCTTTCTCCTCACTTGACCCTAAAATTTTTGACAACATGATTTTCTATTACTGAAACAGTGTAGTGCCTGATATCAGAATGGGAGCTCCATAAGTGTTTGCTTATATGCATAAATGAAAACCTGTATTTTAATAGTACTCTCTCTTATCCATTTAGACTTTTTTATCTGTACATTGGGAGTAGGAATAATGATTTGTTTGAAGATATAGTTTCTTTGAAAGTTAGTGTCCCTTGACTTATAACAGATATTAGTTCATACTTTCTTTGCTCCTTTTCTACTATATTTAAATCATGATGTTCTTTATGGTCTTTACTTTCTCTTGTTATTTTAATATGCAGAGTCTGTGTGCTCTTGCAAGAGAGAGACAGAGACAGGGAGAAAGCACCCTCCCCCCCTCCACCCCAGTCTGATGCAGCATTGCAATGCTGCAATCTCTCCTCTTCCTTTTCTTCATCTTGTCAGGATTTTGGTCACACATCCACGTGTGTTCAGCTTGCCACCTGAGCCAGGATTCAGACTCAGGTTGGCCATCTGTAATCTGACTATTAGGCTTCAGTACCAGCCCAGATCTTTATTTTGTAACTTATTTTTGCATTTTTTTAAAGAATCTCTGGTCATATGTTTAGAGAGCTGTAAAAAATGATTCAGTCTAAAAAGATAACTTGTATAACACATATTCTATAGTAGAAATCATGTATAACACATGTTCTATAGTAGATATCATTCCTGCTTTTACAGTATGGTCAATGAAAGTTATCTATTGCTTTGTACCTATCAAGTGTCCAAAGAATGAACAGAAGCAGGGAACCAGCAGTTAGCGTAATGGCTATGCCGCTGGACTCCCACGTAGTCGACTGCAGTTCGTGTCCCGGACCCGGTGGCTTAAAACTCACGCCGGGCACGTGTGCCTGCGTGCCCAGGATCCCGAGAGGAGAATGGAGGAGAAGGGATTGCGGCGTGACCATCCCCCCTGGGGGATGATTTCTCGCTTTCTGTCTCTATGTCTCTCTCTGTCTGTCTGGCGAGCGCACGCGCCCTACAGTGAAAATCTCTCCCAAAAAAAAAAAAAAAATGAACAGAAGCAGTTAAAAAGTTAGGATAAGTCAATTAACTACAAATGTGAGTGCCCACAAGTATGTGTTAGATAAGGAAATATTTTAAGCGAAGAGTTTGAAAATTTGATTGATGATTGGTTATCTACATATAATCTTGGGGAAATTGAGTTTTAAAATGTTTACAGTAAAATTAAGAAAGTACAACTAAGCCAAACACAAATTAAAATTTCTTTGTACAAAGCATTCAACCCACTGTCCAAGAAAAAGCTTTCATCTTTTGAGATGAAAGAATTAAAATGAAAGTAAAGCACTGACGGCTACTACAGAAGCATGCATTTATATGGCCATATGGTAGTAATCCACTAAACACATAGTTATAATCTATTGGAAAATAACCAGAACAGATTTGCCAGGCAAGGATTCTGCCAGATCAGCTTGCTTATTACTTGGAATAACAAAAATGTAGAGAAGCACACGCACTTTTTAAATTTTATTTTAAAGACCAATACAGCATCTCTTTAAAAAAGTATTGCCTTCCTCTTTATAGACAGTCCTTTAGATTCTGAATGCCACAAGTTTCAATGAAAAATTTCACTTTTTCTGTGCAGCCAAAAGAGTTAATTGCATTAGAAAAGATATTTGTGTGTTTTTCAATATAGTAAGCATGTGCAACTGGATTTCAAAGGATTGTAATGTGTGAGTTCATTACTGATCAAAGAGTTAATCCACACGCATTGAAGATGTAAGATCAAGTCATCTGAAATAAGAGGTCAAGATACATGCATAAATGAGTTTGCACATGGAAATACTCAAGCTCTTCTTGGTTGACTGAGAAACTGATTTCTAGCTCTCTTTCCAATGAAAAAATATCAGAAAGAAATGGCAGCAGTTTAGTCAATGGTGTTTATTGAAACTGTTTTATACTTGCAGATAGAGTTTCTAGTTAATAATACTGACATTATTTAGTTCTTCTCTATGACAAGTGAAATTATCATATATCACAAAAGGTAATAATGTATTTTCCCCAAGATCAATCAATATGAACACAGAAAAGCTGAAGCTCAAACAGAATTGGGACCTTCTTAAAACACAATTTTGTAAAGGTCAATCACAGCATCTGTGGAGTCAATAGAAATGATAACTGCAAGAAAGAAAATACATTTTTTTATTCATACAAATTTCAGAGAATTATAAAATACTTTAACTTCTTTTTCTGTATATAGAAATTATTTTTATTTTTTTCTCCAACCAATACATATTGGTTGATAGACCATGGTTACTGTTCTATGAATTAGCATTGAACTGGCGATTAGAGATTCATAGTTGCTCTTCTGAAAGCTTTATCAACTTTTTTAAAAGACTACTAATATTGTTCACTATCTATTGCTGGTAGGGAATACCACACCCAGTGTGATCAGTGTGGGAGTAATTTGAATTAACCATCGCAGAGCTATTAGCATTGAAACAGAGGCTCAAGTAGATCAGAGGTCCAGAAAAGAAGTTGCTAAGATGTGTTAAAGAGAGGAGTGGCTGTGCCTCCTAGTTTAGTTCTGGGTCATTCAGTAAAGGAGACTTATAGAGGTCTTGGTCTTAACACTGGTGCCAAGATGAGAATTACTGTATGAGAAGATATGAAGCATGGCCAGCAAAGTTTTCTTATACCTTGGGTTGTCCAAGTAAGTCATCTTTTTCCCTTATAAGTGTAACAAGGCTCATGTCTATCGCTGTCAGCTGTGGTCTTCTAAACCTGATAGGTCCTGGACAGTGAAGGTCATTCCTTTCACCAGGTTAGCACATGAGTCCACGTTCATGGTCTGTCCACTGGGGTAATACCAGATTGAGTAAAACCGATTCTTGCAGTCTCTGGAGTTGTTTCTGACTGATCTGTGTTCATATCCAGCCTGTGGACTTGAGTCTGGATAAGAGGAGAACTGTGCTTAGGTTTACACTTCATTCTCAAGGCCTCTGTTCTTACTAAAAATCTTAGTTATATTGTAAATTCAAATGTATTTCCTAAACATGATCCCTGATTATAAACTTCATAATTTAAGAATCTGAAGGTGCATCTTTGGGCTAAAACCAGAGGTAATTATTTGAAATAAAGACCTCATCTTTAAATCAGAATATAAGGTATTGCAATCAATGATTTTTGTCCAGCTGTTCTCTATTCGCAATGGTCATTTGCGAATGAGACTGCCTTAAGCCAAATTGCATCCTGTCCAAGTGATGCCTTATTGTTTCCAGCTTTTTGAAGTGTCAGTAATGTTCTGCTTTCAATAATTTTTCTGATCACAAGAGAAATTAATACATCAGTGCTTTTTTCCTAAAAAACTAGTCTTTTTTTTTGAAAGGAAAAATATGATCCTGTTGTAAATATGTAAGTGATACAAACATATATAAAAATTAAATGTTTACTGTGTTCTCAAGTGGTAACCACATGTGAACATTTTATATGCAAATAATTTCTCCCTCTTCTCCCTCCACTCTCTCTATGTTTATAGATGAAATGAGCAAAAAATCTTTGGATGATCATATATATTATTCATAAACTACCAAAGCTTGTTTTATAATTATTCTTGATATTATGAATATATTCTTCTTGGAAGTCTCATATTTATGCCTTTGTCGTGTGGTGTTGGATTTAAGTATTGGTAGATACTACCAATATACAATGTAAATATGATAACTTATTTTAAAATAGCTCTCTCTTCAGGAATTTTTTTTTTTTTTTTTTTTTAAAGTATTTTGGACGTGGACATTTGCTGGCTGTACAAGGTGATTTGGCTAAAGGAAAGTATATAATTTTGTAAATTCTATTCAAACTTCTAATGTGCTCAGTGTTCTCTCTCAACAGGGCCCACTTGGAGGCCAGTGCTGAGAAGTGGAACAGGTTGCTGATGTCTTTAGAAGAACTGATCAAATGGCTGAATATGAAAGATGAAGAGCTTAAAAAACAAATGCCTATTGGGGGAGACGTTCCAGCCTTACAGCTCCAGTATGACCATTGTAAAGTAAGTTGGCCACCTATGGTTACTTAAAGTAAAATTCCGGATAAATGTTGAAGTTGAACCAATTATCACAGGCCCCCGACCCCCCCACCACTACTGTCCCACTTTTAATTGTCAGTATTTAGGCATTTTATTTAACTTCACACAGTGTAACCATTTGTGTCAATTAAGTTGTATCTTAATGTTTAATACGTTATTCAAACATCACAAGTATCTAAAGCATAATATTCCTTTTTAGCTTATTATGAGATTTATTTAATTTCAAATGTGTTTTAGAATTTCAACACATTACAGTAAGAAAATCTTAAAGCTATACATCAGCTTAATCTTAAATTCAGAAATCATACCCATCAAGAGTTATGAAATATCTTATTGATATTAAAGTGAAAAAATGGAACATGTGGTAGTAAAAAACTAGAGCAGGTTTAAGTCATAAAGCAAATGAAGTCTATAGTATTTATGATCGTTTTATATGTTATATATGTTCTGAACTTAAACCTTCTTTCAAATTACATTTTTATCCTGTTTAAGTTTCTGTCTCTATGCAGATTTGCACTTTTCTTTTGATTAGTAAACAGATATAATAAAAAATATTACCAACTGAAACATTAATATTCAGGTCATTGCCTTGTTTTCAGCCTTGTGCACTTTCCATTAATTAAGTACTCCTTTATACCTATCTTCTCATATATTACGTACCATGTTGTTTTATTTTATTTTTTACTCTTCCCATGCAATGCAAGTTCTCATTCTAAACTTTTTAAGAATTATTTTATTTATTATTATTATTATTTTAAATGTGGTTGAGGTGTGTGTTGAGGGAGGAATAAGAATACAAACCATTAAGTCCAGAGCTGAAACTGTAGTCAGCTATGTGGGAGTTCAGCGCCTTAACCACCATGCCACCTGCTAGCCCCCTCATTCTTAGTTTGTACGTTTTATTGTGACCTTAAAATTCTATTTCCATTTAAAAAATGACAAACACTAACACATACATCTTCTAATTGATGTCATCTATGTAATAATGTGCTTTATTAGAAAATTATACCTGGACATTTGCTGGCTGTACAAGGTGATTTGGCTAAAGGAAAGTATATAATTTTGTAAATTCTATTCAAACTTCTAATGTGCTCAGTGTTCTCTCTCAACAGGGCCCACTTGGAGGCCAGTGCTGAGAAGTGGAACAGGTTGCTGATGTCTTTAGAAGAACTGATCAAATGGCTGAATATGAAAGATGAAGAGCTTAAAAAACAAATGCCTATTGGGGGAGACGTTCCAGCCTTACAGCTCCAGTATGACCATTGTAAAGTAAGTTGGCCACCTATGGTTACTTAAAGTAAAATTCCGGATAAATGTTGAAGTTGAACCAATTATCACAGGCCCCCGACCCCCCCACCACTACTGTCCCACTTTTAATTGTCAGTATTTAGGCATTTTATTTAACTTCACACAGTGTAACCATTTGTGTCAATTAAGTTGTATCTTAATGTTTAATACGTTATTCAAACATCACAAGTATCTAAAGCATAATATTCCTTTTTAGCTTATTATGAGATTTATTTAATTTCAAATGTGTTTTAGAATTTCAACACATTACAGTAAGAAAATCTTAAAGCTATACATCAGCTTAATCTTAAATTCAGAAATCATACCCATCAAGAGTTATGAAATATCTTATTGATATTAAAGTGAAAAAATGGAACATGTGGTAGTAAAAAACTAGAGCAGGTTTAAGTCATAAAGCAAATGAAGTCTATAGTATTTATGATCGTTTTATATGTTATATATGTTCTGAACTTAAACCTTCTTTCAAATTACATTTTTATCCTGTTTAAGTTTCTGTCTCTATGCAGATTTGCACTTTTCTTTTGATTAGTAAACAGATATAATAAAAAATATTACCAACTGAAACATTAATATTCAGGTCATTGCCTTGTTTTCAGCCTTGTGCACTTTCCATTAATTAAGTACTCCTTTATACCTATCTTCTCATATATTACGTACCATGTTGTTTTATTTTATTTTTTACTCTTCCCATGCAATGCAAGTTCTCATTCTAAACTTTTTAAGAATTATTTTATTTATTATTATTATTATTTTAAATGTGGTTGAGGTGTGTGTTGAGGGAGGAATAAGAATACAAACCATTAAGTCCAGAGCTGAAACTGTAGTCAGCTATGTGGGAGTTCAGCGCCTTAACCACCATGCCACCTGCTAGCCCCCTCATTCTTAGTTTGTACGTTTTATTGTGACCTTAAAATTCTATTTCCATTTAAAAAATGACAAACACTAACACATACATCTTCTAATTGATGTCATCTATGTAATAATGTGCTTTATTAGAAAATTATAAAATCTTGACATTTATTTTATTTTGAACATTTGTTTTAAAATTTTTATTTGGTGTCTTTTATCTTTCTACTTGAAAAGAGACTATGATAGAACAGTGTCTTTAACACAAGGTGCCATTTTCTAGGGAGAAGGTCAGGAAAGTGCCATAAATGGAGTGAGTTTTTTTTTTTTTTAAACAGACTTGAAGTAAGGGAATAGTAAACAGGGCTGTTCTCTTGGGGGAAGAGACCTT